GTTATGTGATTTTCTTTTCAGATTGTATGAATTCAAATGGGTATCTAAGTATCAGGCATGGGGGGTAATGATTACACAAAGTAATTAATTACAAGGTCAATTACAATTACTTGTAATGTGTAATTGTACAAAAACCAATCACAATTACTTGTAATTGTAATTGAAATTTTTCCAATTACAATTTCTTGTAATGTGTAATTGACAAATAACTAATTACAATTATTTGTAATTGTAATTGAAGTTTTGCCAATTACAATTACTTGTATTTGTAATTGAAATTTTCAATTACAATTACTTGTAATTTAGGTATTACTAATTACAAATTACATGTAATTGTAAGGAACAAAATTCACAATTACAAGTAATTGTAATTTGAATTTCTTCAATTACAAGTAATTGTAATTGTCAAAACTTCAATTACAATTAAAAATAATTGTAATTGGCAAAACTTCAATTACAATTACATGTAATTGTAATTAGTAATGCTTCAATTACAATTACTTCAAATGTAATTGTAATTGAAAATGTAGTCATTACCCCCCAAGCCTGCTAAGTATATAGTTCAAATATGCCGTGGACGTTACTTGTAAAGTTTTAATATTATATAATTTTTTTTTTGCAATTTTTGTTTAATTTTTCAAATAATTTTGTTAAAAAATTTAATTTTTTTTTTTAAATCATAAGAGGTGTGTATTTAAATGTATAAACTATATATTAACCAAAAAAAAAATATTTATTAAAAATGGGAACAGATTTTTTTTTTAATTTTTTTATAAAAAAGAGGAATAAACTTTAAAATGTAAATAAATTATGAAATTAAAAAAACAAGGTTTTACAGATAACTTTAGTAATACTTAAAAGAAAAAAAAACAAAAATTTTAAACTGAAAACATCTAATATTGAGATGATAGATTAAAAATTAAAAAAAAAAAACAATAATAATTTGTTTAATATTATAAAAAGAAGCCTGGCTTCAGTAAAAAAATTAAAATTAAATTCCAAATTTTATTATTTAATGTTTTGAAAATACCTTTATTGTTAATTTAAATAAAAAAAAAATAAATTTTGAAATTTAAGCAAAAAAATCATAAAAAAAATAATTATTATATTATAAGTAAAAAAACTGTAACATAAAACCATAACAGAAAAAAAGAACTATTAATTTTAAAAACTATATTAAAAACCACATACATAAACATATTTATTCATTATGTAGGCCAAATTATTAAAAAAAAAACTTTCTCATTACTAATTAACCAAAATTAGCTCATAATTAAACAATGTCATTATTATAAAAAGGTCAAATAAAAATTCTGTAATTTTAAATAAAAAATCCCCCTAAAATACATTTCACTTAAAAACATACAACATACTCTATAATTGAAATTATACAATTTTTACAAAAAATAAAGAAAATAACATCTGCCATCTTTAAGGAATGAAAATAGTAACAAAAAAAAAAAAAAAAAAAAAAACATAACTCTCATTAAAATAAAATGTTGTTTTAGTAAATTATACATACAGACATTTACATAATAAGATTTAAGATTCTAATTTAAATTATGATATTATAAAAAAAAAATATATTCAATACAAGGAAATGCAAGAAAAAAAAATTATATATAATTTCATTGTAAATTTAGTTTTAAGCTAGCATTTTTTTGAAAGCGAATAAATGAAAATAATAAAAAAAAAAAAACAGAAACATTTTCCAACATTTCAACTGATGTTTTAAATTTTCAAGAAGAAATAAATAGAGGTAAACCTAGTCTATCGACTTGAATATTCCCTAAAAAGGCTCCAATTCAGAAAATTGCTTAAAAAGTGTAATCGGTCATATTTTCTGTAAACAATAACCGCATTAAAAACCTTAAACATTAACGGTTGTATACATAAAAAGTTAATTTAGGTTTATTAAACATTATTAAGCAAAATCCACGAAAATGGTATTCATAAACGTCAAATAGCTTAAAATACCTTCAATAAACCAATGACAAATAGAAAAAATTTATTGTACGCTCGACCCTACTTTAAGCCAACAATAAGTTGAATTCTTACAAATTTTGTCTCTGATTAAGCTTTTTTCATTAATTTTAGGTTGAAGACGAAAACTAATCATGTTTTATTCTGAAATGAAATCTAAAAATTGTAATTTTAACGTTTACAAATTTGTAAATAAAATTCCAGATACATTTTAAAAGTTTCTATTTTGGTGAAAAAACTAAAATCTAGGCATTATTGGATTAATAGATGAATATTTGACAGTATTCCAGTTGGTTAATACTATTTTTGGCAATTTGGAAATGCCCGCCTGTCAATCAAATCATGGCCACAATCATTTTATTTGTCTTTTTCATAGTTTATTCGCTAAATATAAAGCCATGAAGTAATTAAGAGTGTAAATTATATTGATTAGTGTTCTATCAATGCAAAATATCTTCTCCGGCAATAAAATGTAGTCTTTTATCAAAGAAATTTATCAGTATTTGCAAAAATTTATTAAAAATTGCTATAAAAATAAGTAAAAATAACAAAATGTGCATAGTGATGTTTATTTTGTCACAAAATATTCGTTATTCGAATACTTTTAATTATAATTAAAAATATATATGTTATATTCATTCATCTGAACTAAATATATATTTATTGTAGCCATGTATACATTTATTTTTCTTAAAAGTTCGTTCTTATTTTCAAAAATGTGTTATAACCAAAAATATAAAATTAAGAAAACCGACTCAACGAATATTTTATCCTAATTGTTCGCAACACTAACACAGAAAATGACAGCCAAATTGTACAGTGCTGCCAAGTTAAACAATAAACAGCACAATAGTTAATGTAGGTTTATTATTTGTTTATGAATACCACAATTTTATTAATGGCTTTTAAGTCTAAAGTGTACTTTAACTATTGTGTGATTTAAATCTAAAATAAGCATTTTTTATGAATACAACTGTAAATCCTTAAATAATGCTCGAATTGACAAAATAGTTAAAATGTAGATCCTTAAATAACGCTCCAATGGACCAAATAATAGATGTTTGTAATCACTCAAATTTTTCATCAAAAATCAATTTTTGTCTGAAAAAAATTTATAATTGGTTAAAATCTGTGATCACTAAATTTTTCATCAGAAATCAGTTTTTGTATGAAAACCCTAATATCGGCTGTAGACCCTTAAATAATGCACTAATTTTCTTCAAAAATCACTTTTTGTATGAAAAGCTTAAAACTACTGGCAGTATATCCTTAAATAAGGCTCCAATTGACAAAATAGTAGAAAAACTGTGATCATTTGTATTTCCCTTAAAAAAACAAGTTTTTTGTGAAAACCCTAATATCGGCTGTAGACCCTTAAAAAAATGCTCTAATTGACAAAATGTTTGAAATCTGCGATCACTCAATTTTCCATTAAAAATCAATTTGTATATGAAGACCCCAATATCGGCTGTATACCCTTAAATAATGCTCTAATTTTTCATCAAAAATCTTCTGTGATTACTCATATTTTTCATCAAAAACCAATTGCGGTATGAAAACCCTAATATAACGTCACCTAAAACGCAAACGGCCCTATCTAAAATTTTTAAAATTTTACAGGAGAAGCAAAAAACTATTGAAATTGGAAAGTTTGTTTCTATCATCGCGATTTATTTGTAGTAAATAAACAAATTGTTTAATAGTGAAACCTATCAGTTATTATGATAGTTGACAATGGCGTTTATAAAAATGGATAAATTGGACTTTTTACCTTTAATATTTACATGTTTTTGTAGATAGGACCTTTTGTTTTTTGTCAATCACATCGCTAATTTTGGTCGGAGGAGTCCAATTTTTTGTGTGGACATATGTTTTGATGCAATACATTAAATCAACAATAACATCGATTTTGAATTTTTGGTTAGTTAGGGCCGTTTGAGTTTCAGGTGACGATATGTAAGTTGCAGACCCTTAAATATTGCTCTAATTGGCAAAATTGTTAGAATTTGAAAAAGAAAATTGTTTCTTTATGAAAACCCTAATATCGGCTGAAGGTCCTTAAATAACGCCTCAATATATAAAATAGTTAATAGCTGTGATCAATCATATTTTTATATCCTACACCAATGTAGTGGGTAGGGTATTATGGGTTTGTGTTGATGTTTGTAACACCCAGAAATATTGGTCCTACGCCCTTCTTAAAGTATACCAGATTGGCTCAGAATCACTTTCCGAGTCGATTCATCTATGTCCGTCTGTCTATCCGTCCGTCCGTCTGTTTGTCCAAGTAAATAATAAGATTAAATTGGGCACATACCCGAGGAAGAAGCCTATTGATAATGGTTAAAATGGGTCCATTATTTCGCAAAGCCCCCATACAACTGTAGTCCCCGAATAGAGCTTTTGAGCTCTTAAATATGTTAAATTTTCTTGTATCTCTCCAAAAATTGGTAAAACCGGGATTAATTTGACCCTAGCCTCCATACAAAGTCCCCTGCATAAATAACTTTAATGTAGACGTAACTCTCTCCACCAAAATTTATAAGGATAGGCCCCTGGCCCCATAGAACCGCTGTTTTTAAGAAAATATCTTTGTTTGTCAAAAAATATTTATGAATTCTTACTTGTTTTTTTTATTAAAAATCCGAGTCAACATTGCCTAATGTTTTATGAACTTTTCCTAATAAATAGAAGACAAGCGATTTCTTAGGTACGATTTCTTTGAGTTCCTCAAGTTCTTTCAAAGCCTCTTGATGTTTACCCAACGGGAAGTATATCGAACTACGATGAAAACGTGCCAAGGGATTTTTAGGATCTAATGTTGCGGCGGTATTAAGAGTATCATATAGTCGTCTCATGCCCGACATTTTTACTTGTTTTTTTTTATTAAAAATCAATTTTTGTATGAAAACTCGCCTGTTTTGTCTGCTATGGATTTAATAACATAATAATTAATAAAAAATTAACGTGATTTCCAAACATTTCAAAAAACATATTTTCTTTTTATTAAATAAAACATCAGGTTTTGCGTTTATATTACTATTAATAATAATTATTTCTTTCATCTTTTCTTTTCTTGTTTTGTTTCTTTATCATTCATTAATTTTAAAGTTATTACGTACTACTAATTCAAATTGTAATTAATGTTTATTTTATGCTTATTTTCTTGTGTTTTATATTATTATTATTATTATTTGCAAATTAAAATTATAAAATGTCCATTTAAGCTTAAATTATTTATGTTTTATTGTTGGTTTTATTCTTTTTTTTTAAACAGTCCCTAACATAAGAGTGTTTTGGCTGTATTTTATAATTTATGGTATTATTTTTAATCATTTTTTTTTGTTAGAGGATAGTAAAATAACAAGTAGAGAAGGTAAATTTATTTGGTTTAAATATTACTAACTTTTTTTTATTGATTGATGTTAAACATAGTAAAATTATTGTTTTATTATTGTGTTACTTTGAGGGGGGTAATAAATTAAAATTAAATAATAATAATGATGATAATGATGGAGTTACATGCCTGTGATGAAAACAAAAATCAACCGATTTCATGTTCAAGTTTACTACTTATTCCGCATTAGTTTAATTTTGTAATTTATTTAAAAGCATTACAAAATAAATATAGATTTTCTTTAAAAAAAAAACTATAAATAACAAATCGGTGGTTTTTATAAATGTTTTTCCAGTTATTTTATTTTCACATACATTCACACACAAACACACACGCCCCTAAAGCATTTGAAAAAAAAATATAAAGTTAATAAAAGAAATAATAAAACAATATGTATGTAACTCCCAATGTTGTATGTTTACAATTAACATTATGCAGCTTGCAGCTTTACAAACATAAATATAGAAAAGTGTAAGGTGAAAGGAGAAGTAGAAGAAGTAGGAGGAAAAGTGTTAGAAAGATTGTATATATGGAGCAAGGTGAAAGTAAAAAAAGTCAATATAAAGAAGATAAACAAAAAAATATTACAAAATGTTATAATAAATTTACTACCACTCTACTGCCATTGAGGGTTTATTAGACTTGGACCACCTTCGTTTTAATATCAGTCGTTAGAGAAATGGACAAACACAAAAACATTTAGCAGGTGGCTGGCTGACTTAAAAGTCACTATCGTAGTTGACATCTTGGGCCTGGGTTGATTCATCCGAACGCTCGGATATGGGTTCTAAATCAGCATCTAGACCGGGATCATTCATTGAAGTGGGACAACAGGGATGTGACATAGAATCGAAGGCATCTTTAATTTGATTGTTGGCACCCTTGGGATCGAGATCGGTGGCCCAACTGAAGTGCATGAGAGCCGAGTCAACATTGCCTAATGTTTTATGAATTTTTCCTATTAAATAGAAGACAACCGATTCCTTAGGTACGATTTCTTTGAGTTCCTCAAGTTCTTTCAAAGCCTCTTGATGTTTACCCAACGAGAAGTATATCGAACCACGATGGAAACGTGCCAAGGGATTTTTAGGATCTAATGTTGCGGCGGTATTAAGGGTCTGTAAGGCCTGTTCTTTCTTCTGCATAAAGTATTGCATAGCACCAATATGCACAAGTATAACTGAATTTTGGGGATTGATTTTCAAGGCCTTAATGTAGTGCAATTCGGCCAATTCGTATTTTTCCTGTTTTGAGTAGATGGTGCCGATGCCAAACCAGGCATTATAGTGACGTGGATCACGCACCACAGCTGAGCGGAAATAGTCCATGGCTCGGTCCAGTTCTTCAGTGAGCACTAGTTCATGCCCCAATAGTGTATAACTATATACAAATTCTGGATCTACTTGTACGGCCCGCTTAAAGAACTTAATAGCAGTTTCATGCTCTTTATGCAGCGAAAAGCAATTACCCGCCACACACCAAGTTATGGGTGAGGTTTTATCTTGATTTATTAGATCTTGGGCCAAGGCCGAAAGACTCACCTCTTTCTGCAAGTGCCACAAGGAGGATGAGTATATTTCCATATAATCTAAACGATAAGGCTCCTGCTCGTGTATACGTTTAAATATCGCCACCGCATTTTCATATTCTCTCAATTCGTAATGGCACATGCCGATTAATGATTGCACCCAATTGGAAGAAAAATGATGTTTTGGTATTGTAGCCTCTAGGTGTTTAATGGCGCCTTTACATTGAAAATGTGCCAATTGCTTAAAGCCTTCGCCTAGATCACGCATTAGGGTCATCAGACCATCGGCTGATTGTTTTTTAAGGGCTAGCAGGTGATGGGTCATAGTTTGGGCACTATTTAAACTGTTGTTCAGCTGCACTTTGGCATCTTCATTCGAGCGATTATTGCCCGTTTGAGCCGAAGTAATAGTTTCCACTTTTTCCTTATCTTTGCGTATATTCTTTTCGCTAACTTTATCGGCATTTGTTTGATTGGCATTCGATTTGTCTTCGATTAGTTCATTGTTTAGACAGATTTTTCCCATACGAGCTTTAGTTTTACGTGGCGGTGAACGTGGCTGAACGAACTTATTTGATATATTGGGCGACTTGTTGTTTTCCTTTACTGAATAAGCACTATGGCTAAAGAGACGGGAACTTCGCCTCACAGCAGCATTAGGAATATTAGGAACTGAAAAGAAATTAAATATACATTTATTAAACATTCGTAAAAAATTGGTTTATTTCTCACTTACCATTTGAAACATTACCACTGTTGTTGGGTGTACGTGGAGTTATATTACCGGTTTGTGTAAACACCGAAGGTTTACTGCCCCCACCAGCATTTGTTGAAGTTTCTTTGCGATTGATTAAAGAACTAACGTGTCCCTTCATCTTTTTTCCTATTACTTTTTGTTCTTGATTGACTTCGGCCAGTGTTTGGGGTAATGGGGAATTTGTTATATTGAGATTGGCTTGTGTGTGACCAGCACCTAGACTGCCCAAAAATGAAGAATCTCCACCGCACGGACTGTTTATGGGTAGAACACCAAAACTGGGTGTTGTGGGTGACATAGCAGACAGATATTTGAATTGTTTGCGGAATGGTGTACCAGCACCACCATCAAATTGTTGTTGTTGTCCTTGTGCCGTAATGCTAGTTTGATCGGAATTGGTGGTATAACCCACTGGAGTATCGTCCAACATCATCATACTGCTGTTCTGTTGGCCAACTCCTTGACCAACGCCACCACCTCCCCCATTACCCCCGCTGCCCACACTCTGTACTACATTTGTACCTCTTAGCATTGATATGGAACTATTTAAATTGTTATTGTTATTATTTGGTGTGGTTAGGGCCTGTAAGGCACCCAGGCCATTGTTATTAGAAGGCGGCTGTATTTGCTGTTCTACGGGTGTGGAGAGTATATAATTTGAACTATTGCTCAATTGACTAATAAAACCACCATCCACTGAAATATTTGTATTTGTTGTACCGAAATTTGAATAATTTATACTACCGCTTTCATTTAGACTGCCAAGATTTCCCGCTCCACAGCCTCCACCAACCCCACCACTGCCAAACAGTATCATCGAATTTGTATTCACATTACCTTGGCATGTATTGAATATATCAGTATTGGGTATATGAAAAATACTATTTGCATCTGGGTATTCACCCAACTGACAGAGATCGGCAAATGCTTGCCACATAAACGGATTCAATTTCAATGCCTTACGTAATGCCATGGTGGCTATTTTATTACGTTCTGTTTTAACACAAATCTGTGCTATTAACTGTAGAACAAAACATGCTATTTCACCGAATTCCTTGACAATATCGTCAAAACAATTCTTCATATCACCAAAACCATTGATGGTTAGAGCACATTCAGCTTCGGAATATTTCTTAAGTTGATAGGCACATTTTGCCTGTAGGAAACGACATTGTGGCGAACGGCGTGATTTTTCTCGCAGTAGCCAATACGTTTGATGTATAAGATTTGAACGATAATAGCTGGTGGCTAAGATAAAAATGGTTTCATCAGTCTCCACTGAAATGAGGAAAAATAAAAATGCAGAACAATGATTTCGTTAAAAAAGTAATAATTTGAGACAATTAAACGTAAATTTTTTTAAAATCGTAATTCCAAAGAAAATAAAGAAGTTTTTTTGTATTTTCCTTATTATAGGTGGGAATATTGTCAAATTTAATAAGAATTAAGATAACAACCACGATCCAAAGTTGAGTAGGGATCATACTCGTACCACTTGCTTGGACTTAACGCTGTTACCAGGATTTGGAGTGATTATTTTTGACTTCAACTTTGATACTATCTAGTTGCTGAATTACAGAATAGTCTTTTTAAAAGCATCCATGTGGCTTCTATTTGTTGCCTAATATGTGTGTAACCTAAGAGTCTTTCAATGTTTTAAGTTGAAAAGATCATAGACTTAATCCTTCGTATTCTCTTCTCTTGGCAATTTAGAGAATTAAAAGGACCTTTACGTTTCTCCAGTTTGCCTGAACGCAGTTTAGGGAGAAATGCAGAACGAAAATATATTATGTAACCAGTAGATAATAAACTTTTTTGCAAAGGAGACTTTAATGGGGAAAACCTATCTAAAACTTCTTTGCTGTTTAGTTCAGTAGAATATCAATTAATTCTACTGACAATTTTGATCAAGAGTCGCCCTTCCTTTTAATAAAACTCTTTCTTTTGTTGTGTCTTTAGATTAACATTGTTTACATGTTTGTGCTTTGAATATTTTTTCTGGCTTTTAATCAATAAAGTTCACCACACTGCAGCAGTGTAATTGACTACTGATGGTTTAATAGGTCATAAACAAGGTTACAAAAACAGACTAACAAAAAGAAAGATAATGTAAAACGTCTCCATAATGCCAACAGAGGTCCATATATACATTGCATTCAAAATCCTTTCAAAGTAGATCTATAAGTCTTAAGTCTGAAGAGTTGACGTTTGGTCAATATAAATGTTGTTGATGTTTCTAGAGCTTAAAAAATATATAAAAATTAGCCCTCGTTATTAACAATTGAAATTTTCATTTCGAAAATTTCATAATTACATATGTCATGTTCATGTTATAAGAGTTTCGCTATTGCTGGTAGCTATTCTCTGTGGTTGGGTTGACAATCTTTTATCTATTAGAAATCTGGTCGTTCCTAAGCGGAGATCCAATTGTCGTGAGAACGGTACGTCTAGTAAATTTGTTTGTTGTTCTTGAAGTTATAGAACTAAGCTTAGGAAAGTAATATTTTACTCATTCTGAAATTATCGGTTTGTTTAAATTAATACGTAAATATTTACCTTCTGAACATAAACGCTCTGCCAGAAATACCGCATCCTTGTGATCATAGTGATTGAGACAATGCCATATGGCAGCCTGAAAAAAATGTGAGAACACTATTTTAAGTCGTCCTTAACACTAACTAGATTTCGCCTCAACACACACACACACTTACCTGTACTGGTTCTTGGAGAATCATATTTGTTTAAGAATATTGAACTTTTCGTTCCTTATCACGTCTTTTTATACTTTGTTCGTGTTGAAAGTGGGTTTATTTGCTTATGCAAACAAACGTATCCTTTTTCTACGAATTGATTTCAATTTAAACTTTTTTATTATTGTTCGATTTCAAAACTTTTCAACACCCCACAGTCTAATACACGTACACACGACTTATTTTTATTATTTTGGTCGTCATAAAGTGTTAAATAGACTTGCAGTACTTGTGCTGCTGCTCTTGATGATGATGATGACGACCACCACCACCGCCACCAACAATAACCAAAATTAACAAACAAGCTGCTGCCTGCTACACACAATTTTTTCTTTTTTTTTTTGTGTGATACCTTAGTGAGCACTAAGGCCACTCTTTGAAAAAAATTTCACTTTCAATTAATCGAATTTTTCGATCAATTTGCTTGATTTTGCTCACTATTTTCAATTTCTTATAAATATCGAATAATTGTTTTAGACATTTTCAATGATTTTATATAAAAACTTTAGCATTTAATTGGCGAATTTTTGTTTTAAAATTTAGTTAAGTTGGAAAAAATCTCTAATTGCTGAGAAAAAGTAAAATATTTTCTTCGTTTGGGTAGCACAGTTGCAAAAAAGCGTAAGTTTTACAGTTGGAAAAAATTTGACAAATTGGGAATGTTTTGTTTTTGCAATTGGCAATGCCATAAAACGAGACTCGTTAGCTAGTATGTGGCAATATTTAACCAGGTGGCATTACTAAAGTATGTTAATTTTTCTTTTCATTAATTACTTTATTCGTTTTGTTTTGATCTTGTTTTTCTAGAGAATAGTGTAGGAAAGCAGACCATTCATTAATTTTTCGTTTTTGTGTTAGTTTCTTTTGCTAAAATTTTGTAAAAGTTTTACAAAAATTAAAAGAAAAATGTTTGGTCCTTAAAATAAATAATAAAATTTGATATAAAAATGTTGCTAAAATTATTTATATTTGGTTTAATACTCTTTGTATTAATTTATTGGTGAGTAAATATTTAAAAATAATTAAATTAATAATGGGTGTTGTTTTTTCGCTTATATTTCCAATTAATTGTGTGGTTTGTCAATAAAAATCATTAATATTTGTGTGTGTTGCATTGCATCGTAGTTATTTATTAATATTTTCTTTTATTTAACTTTTAGGATTTTGCCTAAAGCAATAAGTTGGTTTTTGGTTAAGAAGTTTAAAGTTAAAGTACGCATTGGTCGTATTAATTTACCGTATTTGGCCTTGAAAAATGTGAACGTCAGCAAAAGTGGATTTTCGGTGGTAAGTTTGGGAATCAATGTAGCTTATCTTAATTGGATATAATATTATAGGTTTTAAAGTTATCATTTGATATCGAAAGTAATATACATATTTAATAGATCTATTATGAACAAAGTTCACAATATGAAAATAATTACAACAGTTTAGCTTATACCTAGTGGTTTAAGTTTTACACTTGATTATTACATGATTACAATGTGATAACAATGATTAGTCTACTCTATGGAGTAATGAGTTTTCTAGTAAGACTAGAAAGTGCTTTATTCTATTAACTAGTAGGTATATCGCTTTAAATTATATAGGGTAACTGGGTAATGTTAATAGTTATTACTATTATATAGAGTGGACTATAGTTAAGTCTAATCAATAGTCAAGTGTACCGTCTGTTCTATAGTCTGTAGTATAATCTATAGTCCAGTCAGTAGTTTAGTTTATAGTTTGGTCTATTCTATAGTCTAGTTTATATTCTAGTCTATAGTCTAGCTTATAGTCTTAATTCATTCCTAAATTTTAATATTTTAGCAAATTGAAGAAATCTGTCTGCGTAGCAGTTTCTTCAATACCGAAGTAACCAAACTATTGTCGATTTACATACGAGATATACAAATCAATAAAGACATTAAATCAAAAACCGATGGAACACCCAAAGAAGAACAAAAACGTTATGCCGGAATATCACGAGAAGCGAGTGTGGAAAATGTACCAGATTTTAGGCAGGCTAAAGTACCGCCAAGTATTCTAACATTTGCCCAATTCATGGCCGTGCATATCAATAACATATCGGTGCTGGTAATGTATAATGATTTTGAACCTGGTTGGTATATACATGCTCTCGCAAAAGAACTACATTTGGATGGCAGTATTGTGCATAATGCTAAAACTTTACTTGTCAATGCAGCATTAAATGAGGCTCAGGTGGGTGTATATTGGAAACTGTCAAAAGTTTAGTAGTTATTACTTTGTTGGTTTTTGCATTAGGCGAAAATGTTAAGGCATTGTCCCACCAGACGTCAATCTTTGGAGAATTTAAACAAAATACGTCCATGCTTGGGAGAAATTAGTTTTGATATAGCTCTCGATGCCACCTTATTTGCCCAAGGTCCTTTATCGGTGGATGTAAGTAATTGGTTTAAGAAATTGTTTTACATTTTTTAATTTGTTTCTTTATTTGTAGAAATTATCTTTGGCCATGAACAATGCCAAATCTACTATACACGGTGGCCTCTACGATTTTCTTAGAGATGCTAAAAAACGTACACTACCCCAGCAACAAACTACCAAAGAAGATACTTATACTTTTACGCCTTTGGCAGGCACATGTAATACGTCCTCAGCAACCTCATTCCAACGGTCGACTCGTTCAAATTACAATAATGAATCATATCAAAAGATAGCTCCTATTATACCAAAGAATTTTAATTTTATAATACAAGCAGCCACTTTTTCAGCCAAAAAAGAAAATTCACAAAATGATTTCAGTGCAAAAATGCAATTATTTAGCGTAGGTTATGATTGTTAAAAAGTTTATTTCTTTTATTTTAAAAATATATATATTTCTAGATAACTGGTGAATTTAATTCGAAAACATTTAATGAAAATACTCATTTGCCAACAGTCTGCACTAAACTGACTTTACAGCATTTGGATATTGATACTAAATATGAAAAATTATTATTTATTGAACAATTTACTATAGATTCAATGGTAAGTTTTTCAATTTCATTAAACATTCACTTAATATGTATTTTCACTTTCTTTTTCCAGTTACAAAATGATATTTTAAATTTGTATGTAAAATTGAAAACTTTCCAAATCATCTATAATCATTGTGAAATCTATGACTGGGTCAACAACAACTTCCTTTCAAGTCAAAGGCAAAAACAACAGCAACCTATGTTACTGCAATATAAACAAAAATCTTTACCCGATCATTTGGGTTCCCTACAAAAACAATGTTCGCATCAGTATAATGATAAAGGAACAACTGCGGCTGGTGGAGAAAATAAAAATGGTTTCTTTGAATCGTTAATGAAACATATAGTCGTCAAGGGTTGTGCTGAATTGTTTAATGTTTCGATGCTTATGAAATTGGATGACGATGAACATGCTGGCATGAGTGTTAGTCATACACGTTTGGTACTCGAACAAATTGATGAGAAACGCAGCTCAATCTATAAAACAAAAATATTTAATCTATTATTAAATCAACGTCACTGGAGTGTTGAGCTAATGATAGAATCCCTTTGGTGGTCTTTGGGTAATTCCATTAATGATACCAACAATCTAAAGAAATCCCATTCGCCGGGTTCTCCTTTCTTTTTGGGTGTCAGTTTAGTCAAATTAAGTTCCTACTCGAATGCCACCAAACTAGAGGTATCCATTCATACATTGCGTACTGAGTATAGCATGACTTTGGCGAATTTTGTAGTGAAAACTGTTAATTGTATTAAACAATATGGTGGCCTTAAGTCGGAGAGTACTATAAGCAAACAGAAAACATTGCAATCGGTAGAACCTCCCATCAATCTTTTAGTGTCTGCTAAAATCAAAGATATAACAGCCTATTTTGTTAATCATCATAGAGCCTGTTTGCTGTTAAGTTTCTCGGAAATTACTTTAACCCGGACTCATCAAATATCCCATTTAAAATTGGAGGAATTTCAAATGGCTATAATGCGTTCTATGACCGCTTCCTCTTTGTGTTTGACTGATTTTACTGATATTTTTGCAAATTGTAAATTGATACGTTTGGAATATGAAAAACTGGAAAATAAAAGACCTAAATTATCAGTGTATATACCAGGTAATACGGAAGCTATATGGAATTCCAATTTACACATGCATATACTGACTTTGGTGCGCGATATGCAAGAATTGAAATATGCTTTAGCTTTGCCGCAAAAGGAAAAATCACCCTCTTCCGCCTCCCCACACTTAGATCCGAATAGCAAAAAACTGATTATAGAATTATCGGCAGAACGTAGTACTGTTTTCGAAATCAAATTATCCGATCGTCATTCCATGCAATGGTTTGTGGAAAATCTTTTCTTCAGCCACAAAGAGAGCAATTTTATTTCGGCCGAAAATATTTTCATTAAAATTGATGATGAACACATATTTACTCTAAAAGATGTGGATGTTCACTCTCTGCCCAAACTGGATATGTTAACGCATGAAAGAGCCAATTGTGAGGGTTTCCTTTTGCCTACGAACAAAGTTTGGGTGACAACTATTGGAGCTTTTAAGGTAGCTTATCATCATAGTATTTGTTATTTAGTTTATTTTATTGAAATCTTCTGTATAATTTTAGGCGATTTTCCCTTATGATCATGATTTTTATGATGCAGTGCAAAATCAATTTGTTTCACACTTTAAATGGCTGAAAATGGTACACAACTATAAGAAGAAACCTTTTACCGCCAGTTCTCCTTTACCCAGTGATATTGTAATACAGGTGAGTACTTTATTTTACAAAATGAAATCGATAAAAGTCGAAAAAGCAAAGAACGTTCTGTATATGAGTGGATTTAGCCATATGTAAGTAAGTAAATAGTAAGTTAGAAAGTTCGTTATTTAGTCGATATGTAATTGACTCATATCGCTCTCTCTTTCTTATTCTCATGAATATCGTATTAATGTAGACGTTCTTCAATTTCTTCCTATTATATTACAATAACTCTTCCATTTATTCTGTTTTTCATTTCAGATCAAAGAATTTCTTTTGGAAATCAGTGATGATCCTTTTGAAGTTAAACTGCGTGATAATTATGTCCTGCTCGTCGATGAATATCTAGAGGGCCTTAAGCGTAAGACACTCTTTGATAAGAAGATAGCAGAAATATGTTCGAAAACTTTGCTAGTGCCAGCGGGCACAATTGAAACTTTGCACGCCACCTTAGTGAAAAAGAATTCCGAGATATATATACAACGTTCTAAGAAAATACGTGAAAGTGGACCGGTACGTACTCGTCTATTGGCTTGGATTATGACCGATGTAGAAATCATGGCCATGGCTGATCCCTCAATACATGGCACCTCAAATGTAACACGTATTATGCGTGAAATTGATTCAGAAAGTCCTTGGCCAGAAGAGGGGTTGGAATTTACCACTCTATGGTGTCGTAATGTTCATGTAAGCTGTTCCGAATGGAAATTTATGTTAAGGGATTTTCCTCAGCCTATGTTTTATGTCAAGACTATGAGTTTATTTGGTATACTGTGTGGTGCTGAGCAGGCGGCCTCTAAGCGCGCAAAACGTGATGTTTATATAGAGGTGGGCGAACCTTTTGGTACGGATGTGGTGCAACGCAGCATGACCGCATTGAAA